ATGAAGAGAGGGAATATCCAAGACCATCTCTATCCCAATACTCATTGTCTAAATGCTCCTCAATCTAAGAGAGCTTGTTGAAGAAGAAATGAAAAGAACTAAGAGATGATAAAGAAAGAAAAATAGTATGCTTAAGAACGGTCATAAAATATAAGATATACGCTATCCCAACTCTTATATCATCTGATGATCTTCAACCCAAAGGAAGATGATGAAAGCAAGCCCGAGCAAAAGAAAATATGAAGAAAAAACTATCATCATATCTCGCTTTCTACTACACCACACCAAGCTTACAACATCTGAAGCTTTCAAAATTAAAGGAAGAGTAAAAGAAGAAGAGAAAAGAGAAAAGAGAAAAGAGAGAAAGAACTTTATGCGCTCATATCATTTAATGCTCTTCAACCCAAGAGAAGAAACTTTATGGGTTCACAGATTGATTTGTATCTTTGTAATCCTTTGTATGAGAGTTTATTCAATTTGTATTTGTAAACAAACACCAAACGTGTTTGTATTATACTCCTTTCTTATACTAGTCAAAATAAACTAGGGAACCAGGTGTGGTTGACAATACTTGGGAACCAGGAGTGGTCATAATACTTGTAACCAAGAGTGGGTTATACTCAAATGTTAGGAGCGTCATAGAATACTCAACTAGATGTCTAGGGATGTCAAGAGTGACAAATAATACTTGTAACCAAGAGTGGGTTATACTCGGATGCTAGGACTAGTGGATAATACTTGTAACCAAGAGTGGTGAAAATACTCTGTGACATTTTGGAAAGGAAAAACTCGTTGTAATTTGAAAAAATAATGGAACCCCTTAAGAGTTTTAAGGGAGAACTAAACGTAGCTCAAGTTTGGGTGAACTAGTATAAAAATTGTACTGTGTTGTTTTCCTTCCTTAAAATCGTTTATTGACTTTTCTATGACATCCTCTGAAGAATACTTTTATTTAGTAATCCTTTGAAAACCCATCAAACATTATTGGCAAAAAGATTTAGAAAACAATATTCAACCCCCTCCCTCGCTTATAGTGTTTTCTTGTGCATTTCCCTATTTATATTATTGAAAGGCGATGCCTGCAAAAGATTCTCCAACGCTCAAGTTAGCACTTAGTCAGAGCTCTCTAGTCAAATCTCAATTAAAACAAAAGTTGAATAGTAAATCATCATTAATGCGTTATTTATAGGTTTACATTATTAACCTTAGATCCATTCGAATGAGCCACAACTTATGAGTTCATTGGCCGTAAGGCCCAATGGCCAACTTACCTTTGAAGTAAGGCTCACTTTTGGTTAAGTCTTGTAACATTGGAGTACCCTAAGTGGACACTAAAAGTTATCGATATATTATGCCCGATATCCAACATCCAACAAAACCCTTCTTTGAAGCATTCTCAAGATTCCCACATTGATTGTAAATTATCCAGTACGAAGTCCCTAGTATCGATGGCAATTATACCTAAGTTGTAAACCTTAATTAGCAGGGTCGATAGGTCTTTAGCAGTATACAATACCAGCCTTCTAGTCTTTTCATGCTTGGAAGGTATGCAGAGAATGTCAATACTCTACCTATCACTAAAGCGAATTAGTGCAGAAAGGGCTTTAGACGTCTGTTATTTTGGGCTTTTAACGTTAGATCCCGATCCGACGTCTTTATGGGTGACGTTAATGGGACGTAGAGTCCGACGTCTATAAAGACGTAGGATTACACCAAAACCGACATCTATAAAGACATCGGATTACACCAAATTGACGTCTATAAAGACGTCGGATTACACCAAACCGACGTCTATAAAGATGTCGGATTACACCAAAATCGACGTCTAAGGGCACTATAGACGTCGGACATGGCATTGACCGATGTCTACTGTAGCTCGTGTCTTTGGGTAGCGTAGTAGCACCTTCTTCCTTGCGTGTTTCGTCATAAGAACTAGGCAAGGACCCAGGTTCGGTTTTGGGTTGAAATGCTAAAAGACATCTAAAAGACGCAAGCTTTCCTTACGAGGAAACTAGCAAACGGAGAAGGTGCTACTACGCTACCCAAAGACACGAGAAAAAATGCACCAAAACACAACGAAAATTCATTTTAATCAGTTCAAATGGAAGATAATCCATCAAAGACTAATTTAATCGGAGTAAAAGTAAGTTTAAACGGTTCAAAAGAAACAAAATGCACCTGAAAATGCAATACCGCGGAGAAAAAAGTCGAGAAGGAAGACGATGAAGTGTGCGTAACCGCGGGTTCGATTTCTGATTTAACAGGAACCAAGACGTCGGGCACAGGGGGCACCGACGTCTATTCTCGACTAGACGTCGGGAACCTTACTAATATGATGTCCATTCTACTTAAAAATTAATATTCGCAGTGTATATCGACGTCAGATGTAAGGGGAGGCGACGTCCAAAACAACTTTTCACCTACCCTGTCAGGCCATTTAGACGTCAGATGGTGGGATCAGACGTCTATATGGTGGAAAAAACAACTTTTCACCTACCTGTCAGGCATATAGATGTCGGTGACAGCGGGGCCGACATCGATAATCGTATATAGACGTCGGATGATGGGATCAGACGTCTATATGGTGGAAAAAACAACTTTTCACCCACCTGTCAGGCATATAGACGTCGATGACAGCGGGGCCGACGTCGATAATCGTATATAGACTTCGGGATGGCTGGATCAGACGTCTATATGGCGGAAAAAAAAACTTTTCATCTACCTATCAGACATATAAACGTCTGTTAGGAGGGGCACCGACGTCTATAATATTATAGACGTCGGGGACCCCCCTAACCGACGTCTATATGCCCAACTTATTTACGAAAATGCCACCGGTCAATAATTTAAGTTAGTTATTTTGAGGTCCGACGTCTACGGGGTGACGTTAAAGGTCAATTTTGCACTAGTGCAGGGTCCCGGTATCGACATTTGGTAGTCCAAATGTTTTATAATTTGTTAAAGGAAATTTTCAAAAAATTGTTATCTTTGGTTGTACCCACATGTATAGTAGGCCCCAGCCTTAAGGAGTACAATGACGAAGAGGTTCAAATGATGAACCTCAAGATCTGAGGGAAAGAGATTGTTGGTAGCAAGCTTAGCACACAAATCAAAGCATTGATTTATGCAAAGGTGACAAAGGTTCGAGAAGGGATGGTTGAGGAGGCATGAAGGGTTTGTGGGCTCACCTAGGATGGGTTTTGTTTGAGATAACGGTGAGTAAGCCATAGTTCACTACTAAGTTTTGTTTAAATTTTTTCTAGTTCATGCTTGTTAAAGAAGTTTATCTTTGTTGAAGTACAATGATTGTCTCTTTTTAAAAGTATGTTAGAATTTGATAGTGGTAATAATATTAGTAGTCAAGTGTCGGTATCTTTAGATCCCACATCTTCAAGTGTCTCTTTTTAAAAACCGTTATTTTTATACTTAATTTTGATATTAAAAACACCCTTTTTGACTTCGAAGCTTGTTTGAACTCATGTTTTTTTGCTTTAGTTTTGTGAATAAGAGAGTTGAAGATGAATTTAATGGTTTTATGCTAGATTCCCTAGATTTTGTAGGCTATTGGAATGATTTGAAATAAGAGTTAAAGTACTGAATGGTTGGTGTAACGCCCCAACAACTTACAGGGAATATTGACTGCCCCTACACATCAACACGAGGCTTTCTAATGTGCTTTGTCCTCACTCGCACACTTTTCGGGAAAACATCCCAGATGGTCACCCATCCCTAAATTACTCCAGGCTAAGCACGCTTAACCGTGGAATTCTTATAGGTTAGGCTACCGAAAAGCAAATGCATTTTGGTGATATACAATTGAAGGATAGCTTGAAGGGATTGATTTGGCTACTCATTTCTGTTATTTTTATGTTCTATTTAAGGACTTGGACGTCCTAAGGACTGTATCTTTTGACGGAAGAGACACAAAAACACATCCTTTGACCCCTCGGAGACGGATTTGGATGCGGAAGCTCTTATCTTCAACTTCTAGGGTTTTATCTTTCATTCTTTTCCATTATTCATCTAGTTTCACCATGCTAATGGTGAACTAAACTCTATTTCTTGTTGGGGAATGATGTAAACCTTTGTAAACTCTCATGTATTGAATTGATTCTTAATTATATATGCTTCCTTCATTAATTGTTAGGGTAATTCTTCTTCACTCAATGCTTGCTTTGTTTAACTCATTCATTAGCATGATAAATGATTTGCATGAGTACCGGAAGGTATCTTACAATTCAGGTTCTGGAGAATAATTCCCAGAAGCTGTATTGCTCAAGAATGGGGGTATGAGTTCTGGTTGTATTAAGCTACTAATAGTAATGCAGAATTAATTGTTAGGGATGCAAGAAATTGTGACCTAGTAATTAAGGATAGACTTTCTTCGCCGAGGAATCGGGATTTTAGTACTTTAGATAGTGACATTGACATTAATGAAGAAGTAGAATTCGTATATACATGAGAGTAAACTAGGTGAAATCTAACCCCAATAACATATTCATCCCATAATATCAAATATATTCGTTCATCTCTGCACTTTTGTCCAATTGATCAAGTTGCATGCATATTTACTTTTCTGTATTTGCATTTTAAACCAAAAGATTTTGTTTTCAAGTCTATTTAATAAAGAAATCACAACTATTTAGGTCGTGAGTCTCTAGGAAAACGATACTTGGTCTTACCATGTTTATTACTTGATACGATTCGGTACACTTGTCGGTGTCTTAACAGTCACCAAATTCACAAGAGTATCAAGCTTGCTTTCCATCTTTTTATCTTTAGAGGAGGAGGAATGAGAAGCCACATCATGAACTCCTCTAATAATAATAACATTATTTCTCGCAATGAATTGCTGGGAGTTAGAGGTCATCTTCTCAGTCAAATGCCTAGCCTGAGTAGGCATCATATCTCCAAGAGCTTCATCACTGGCATCGTCAATCATACTCATCTCCATACTATTCAAACCTTCATAAGATTAGTGAAGAAAGAGTTGCTCAGAAATCTAGTGGTGTGGACAACTTGCACTTAGCTTCTTAAATCTCTCCTAGTACTTATACAAGCTTTCACCACTAAGCTGTCTAATTCCAGAAATGTCTTCTCTTATAGTCGTGGTCCTAGATGCTGCGAAGAATTTCTCCAAAAAACAATCTCTTAAGATCATCCCAACTAGTGATATACCTAGGCGCAAGATACTATAGCCTATGTGGAATAGACTATGTGGAACTCCTTCAGATGTTTATGTGGGCATTCACCTATAAGACCATGAAACTTGGGCAACAAATGGATTAGTCCAGTTTTGAAAACATATGGAACATCTTCATCAGGATATTGGATGCGCAAGCTTTCATAAATGAAATCAGGTGTGGTCATCTCCCTAAGAGTCCTCTAACGAGGTGGAGGTTGAGCCATATTATTCTCAATATAAAAAAACACCAGAGTCAGAATCATATGTAGTATACACAAAATAGGGAGTGGTAGACAAAAAAGGAGAATGCTCAGAATTATGCATACTAATGTTATCTAATGTTATTGACTCTGGATATAAATTCCTAGAAGGCCTAACTAATCTATGAAAGGTCCTATCTATTTCAGGATCAAAGGGTGGTAGTGGTCCAAGATTGCCCATAGTCATGTACTAAGTCAACGCATATCATGCAAAGTCAACACAAGCATACATAGGGGGTACAATTGCAAGTATACTCAAACTTTATCCAAATGAGATGAAAATTTGTGAGGAACACCCTAAAATCATGAAAAGATATCACAAAAATTTTTAAAGCAAAATTCAAAGTATAATTATTTAACCACTAAAAGAAATTTAGGAAAAACATGAAAATATAACTTGAAAAATAAAAAAGAAATAGTAAATGACATTTTCTACCCCAAAGGCATATGTGATATGTCTAATTCTGATAAGAGGATCAAAAGTTATGGCAGTTTGAAAGTTTTCACAAATTTGGGTTTCAAAAATTTTTGTATCTCAAAATTAGGACTACCATAAGTGTTTTTAGAATTTTTCTATGAAAATATGGACAAAAAGAAGTTCACACAAAAACTTTCAAAGAAAAATAACACCTCTAGCTATCAAAACAAAAAATGCCAACTAATTAGGAAAATTGGGTACTATTCATGATTGTTTTTAGGGTGGTTTTCAGGGTGGTTTTCATGGTTTCATATTTTCATGCATAAACATGCCAAATAGCTCCAATTAACATAATTTTGACTGGTTGAACATGCAATCAGTAGCTACTAAAATATAACACAACACAAAACTCACAAAATGAACACACAAAACACACAAAAATTAAAAATAGTACACTCAAACAGAACACACACTAAATAGAACAAACTAATACGAAACAAAACCTAAGACAAAACGCTGGTCCTCAACAACGACAAATTTGATGTTGATGTCGCGCTCCTCTCACCCCTAATCAAACAAGAATTAATAGACTAAACGAAGAATAATCCAATTTTCAATAGAGCGAATTAAGAAAATACTATGCACCTATTTAATCACTTTGTCCCATACAAATTAAGCAATTGCGGGTCTAATCAATTAAGCGAATATTTATACAAATCAAACTATTAAGCGTGAACCCAATTTGAAACGCATAGAACAGATTATATGATGCAAGTTAAGAAGAACAGAACCATAATGATAATGCAGTAATCTCAAGGAAGCAATGCAATCTCCCTGATTACCAACCCAGCAAAATCCAATCTTCCATTAAGAACGAAATGCAAACAAAGAAGAAAATGAATGAGTAAAATACAAAGTCGACTAAATGTAACAGAGTAGAGATAGAAAGATCAAACACTAAGTTTTATACTGGTTCGGCCAAGCCTACATCTAGTGTCCTTCCACCACAGGAAGCAAATGAGCTATAATGATCAAGGTTTTTACAACAAGGATTTTATAGAGACCTCCATGTCAAAAATATAAAACACCTCTCTAACCCTCTAATCAAAATAAAGGCATACAACAAGAATCCCCTCTCTTACCTTCTTCAACCCTATGAGAAACCCCTCAAAGTCAAGAACGTCACATGCTCTTCTTCCTATAATCACAAAAGGGAATCATCCCAATCTTCAATAGATTTTCAACTCTGATCTTCCAGTAAACACCTCTCTGTGCAGATTTGATTAGCTCTTTGAAAACCCAACAACCTTGCTTCTCAAGAAATCACAAATTGATAATAACAAATTAAAACTTGTTTCTTGGAGCGTTTCTCTCTTTCTGTAAGTTTCACACTTTCTGGAAAAGATATCAAAATAATTAGAATCACAAAAGCACTTACAGCATTCAAATTCACGTCAATTTATAGCAATAGAACATGTAACACAATGTAACACAAAATAACATATTATAGATGTGTTATCAATTATGTGTTGTCATCATAAAAAGCAAACAGAGACATTACTGAGATATCAACAATCTCAAAAATCTCCCCCTTTTTTGATGATGCACAACAATGATTGATAATCAACCATGTTGCACAATTCAACACCTGTAAACAATCAATTACAATCATCAAAATTCTCCCCCTTTGGACATTAGCAAAAAAGGTAAGCACAAAGTAATTGATTTGCATGTAACCAGTCATAGAGATGCATCAGATATAACAATTTAATCAGATTATGATGCTCCCCCTTAAACAGATATTCACATGAATTTAAAAATCTCTCCCCCTTAAATGAAGGCATGTGAATTTTATGAATCATATGCAATACTCCCCCTATCATTATGCATGTATTCATCTCAAGTTACAGATACATAATGCAGTATACAAAATCAGTATTAGAGCACATTACAACATATCAGCAGCTAAGCATATCATATATATCACACTAATATCACAACATTAATGATATAATTCTCACTCATCAAAACAATTTTATCTCTTTATCATTTCAAGACATGTAACAGAGATAAGAATAAGCAGTTTATATCACAAATATCAAGAGTTAAAGATATTAGATATTCCAGTTTTTGGAATCTTTAAACCCTTGTTGAAACACAGTCGATTAGTGCACAGTCTTAAACGACTTCATTGCTGTTCTGAGATTTGATTTTCCAGATTTATCCTTCCAATCAGCAATGTTCCTATAAAACCTTTCAAGACCTTTACAGATCAAGCATTTTAGAATCAATAATATACAGGAAATATCACAGATAAGAAATGAGTATGCAAATGTATTAATGAAACAATAATCAGTAACACACTATACTTCATATTTAACATAATCAACTTCAATCAGATTAACAAAGGTATTTTCAATACTGACTAATTAAAGCAAACATCTGATTTCATTGATATTAAACATGAATTACAATCAGAGTTAAATGATTCTGCAACATCATATGCAATATTAAAAAATGAAGCATATGAAATATTTTTCAAAAACAGTTTTGAGCAATATGCAATCATTTTGATGCTAAACATGTATAGAATAACAATATGAACATGTTAAGCAGTTTATTTTAGCAGAAATACACTTACAAACCAATGAAACATTTTTTAATCGATTGATTACAATCTAACTAATAAAAATCTTGCTGAGTGAATGTGTTCAATAACACATATAAGATCATTACAGCAATAATCCTGCATAAGACAACTTTTCTCAACATTATTGAGTGTTAGTCTAGTAAAATATAGTACTTACGATGCAATTTGCAATATCAAATAAGTATGAATATGCAATGAAGTATATGACAGTGAAAATAACATATTTGCATTCATACAATAGATCCAGTACTCATGTATCATGTGCAATGTGTATGTATCAAAGAGTATTATACACAAAGAACAAAGATATATCAAATATAGTGCAGTAGAAAATATGATTCCAGTTTAATCAGAGTAGTATCAAAGCATTATGGTTCACAAATATGCATATCAAAAGAATGATGATTTGTAAATCAATTTTGAGCTCTATGCATTCTATGATTTAAAACTTGTGCTAAACATGTGTATTAGTATATTTGAAACCAGTTTGGCATCATAGAAATCAGTTAAAAGCAGGTAAGAACATGTAAGACAAGTGTTTCATACTTTAACAGATTAAATTTAAAAAATCTGATAGACTTAATCGACTTTGTAATTAGTGTAATCTGTTAAAGTTCGCAGATTTTATTTTTAACAGAAAGTTCGCAGATTTTATTTTTAACAGAGTATAAGATTTTAGAACCTGTTTTGATTGCTGTAAAAACATTTTCTCAACATTTCAACATGTTAGTATCATCATAAATTTGATACTTGCAGTAATTGAATGTTAATATGTATGATTTATGAATGATATAACATGATCAATTTATGTGTCAGATTATGAAAACTTCAGTTCAAAGTACTTAATCAACTATGAAATTTGTTTAATCCATTAAAATTCGCAGATACAATCAAGAATCAAAGTTCATGTATATAGATCTGTTTTGCTCACATCAATACCTACAAAAACATCTTTCTCAACATTTTGCAATGTTAGTATCCAATAATCATGAAATGAACCCGTCGTTTTATAATGTATAAGCAAAGAAAGACTATGATCATTGAACTATGTCATCAAGTGAAATATTAGTTTTAACAATCATAGCATGATCAATATAGTCATTCAATGCATTTATCTAAATCACAAAGCATTTAGATATGCAAATATTGGAGTCAACACAATCATCCAAAACAGTTTTTAACCATTGATTAAGAGACGAGGTTAAATCTGTTTGAAACAACAAAGAAACTCTCTCTGGAGCAGATTTAACAGACTACGTTTTTAACGTAACAGATTAAATTTCACAGAAACTATCATTTTGCATATTTTCACACTATCTCTTCATATCAAGCAACAAGCACACATCACATACATCAAAATGATTATGTAGAACACAAATGATACACATTTTATCAAATTTACAGCTTGTTACCACTTTTGATGACTCTCAAGATGACATGATCACTTTAAATGTGAGATTTTCTTCAGCTTTATGCATCATCTTGAGTCTAGTCCTTTTCCATTGCTTTCAATCTTCTGCAAAACAGTTTACAAGTTTTGATGTAGATACCCATTTGAATTTGGGTCCTTTCATGTTAGAAGATTTTAATGGTT